TATCTAAAAATGAATATTCAGCTGTTAGGAGGTGCGATTTAGAGACATTTTTGGAAAAATAATGGCAAAAAGAAATAAAGAAAAATTATACGAAAAGTTACGAGAGTCTTACCTGGAGACGGTCCACAACGTTAGCTCATGATGGCCTCAGTCTTTACCACTATACCATGATGGCAACGATGGAAATAGCTAACATATTGCAATAGTTCAATATTCTTTGTTTTCAGTTCTACTTGATGTATGTAGATTTTTTGCATTTCACCCTGGACAAGAATTCTCTTCAGAGTTGTTCATCCTTGTTCATCTCTCGTCATCCTTGGTTAAATCGACTCAAAATTGTCCTAATATACAAAGAAATATCAAAAAATGAATATTCAGCTGTTAGGAGGAGCGATTTAGAGACATTTTTGGAAAAATAATGGCAAAAAGAAATAAAGAAAAATGATACGAAAAGGTACGAGAGTCTTACCTGGAGACGGTCCACAACATTCGCTCATGATGGCCTCAGTCTTTACCACTAGACCATGATGGCCTCAGTCTTTACCACTAGACCATGATGGCAACGATGGAAACAGGTAACATATTGCAATAGTTCAATATTCTTTGTTTTCAGTTCTACTTGATGTATGTAGATTTTTTGCATTTCACCCTGGACAAGAATTCTCTTCAGAGTTGTTCATCCTTGTTCATCTCTCGTCATCCTTGGTTAAATCGACTCAAAATTGTCCTAATATACAAAAAATTATCAAAAAATGAATATTCGGCTGTTAGGAGGTGCGATTTGGAGACATTTTTGGAAAAATAATGGCAAAAAGAAATAAAGATAAATTATACGAAAAGTTACGAGAGTTTTACCTGGAGACGGTCCACAACGTTCGCTCATGATGGCCTCAGTCTTTACCACTATACCATGATGGCAACGATGGAAACAGCTAACATATTGCAATAGTTCAATATTCTTTGTTTTCAGTTCTACTTGATGTATTTAGATTTTTTGCATTTCACCCTGGACAAGAATTCTCTTCAGAGTTGTTCATCCTTGTTCATCTCTCGTCATCCTTGGTTAAATGGACTCAAAATTGTCGTAATATACAAAAAAATATCTAAAAATGAATATTCAGCTGTTAGGAGGTGCGATTTAGAGACATTTTTGGAAAAATAATGGCAAAAACAAAATAAAGAAAAATTATACGAAAAGTTACGAGAGTCTTACCTGGAGACGGTCCACAACGTTCGCTCATGATGGCCTCAGTCTTTACCACTAGACCATGATGGCCTCAGTCTTTACCACTAGACCATGATGGCAACGATGGAAACATCTAACATATTGCAATAGTTCAATATTCTTTGTTTTCAGTTCTACTTGATGTATGTAGATTTTTTGCATTTCACCCTGGACAAGAATTCTCTTCAGAGTTGTTCATCTTTGTTCATCTCTCGTCATCCTTGGTTAAATCGACTCAAAATTGTCCTAATATAAAAAAAAATATCTAAAAATGAATATTCAGCTGTTAGGAGGTGCGATTTAGAAACATTTTTGGAAAAATAATGGTAAAAAGAAATAAAGAAAAATTATACGAAAAGTTGCGAGAGTCTTACCTGGAGACGGTCCACAACGTTCGCTCATGATGGCCTCAGTCTTTACCACTATACCATGATGGCAACGATGGAAACAGCTAACATATTGCAATAGTTCAATATTCTTTGTTTTCAGTTCTACTTGATGTATGTAGATTTTTTGCATTTCACCCTGGACAAGAATTCTCTTCAGAGTTGTTCATCCTTGTTCATCTCTCGTCATCCTTGGTTAAATCGACTCAAAATTGTCCTAATATACATAAAATATCTAAATATGAATATTCAGCTATTAGGAGGTGCGATTTAGAAACTTTTTTGGAAAAATAATGCAAAAAGAGATAAAGAAAAATTATACGAAAAGTTACGAGAGTTTTATCTGGAAACGATCCACAACTTTCGGTCATGATGGCCTCAGTCTTTACCACTATACCATGATGGCAACGATGGAAACAGCTAACATATTGCAATAGTTCAATATTCTTTGTTTTCAGTTCTACTTGATGTATGTAGATTTTTTGCAATTCACCCTGGACAAGAATTCTCTTCAGAGTTGTTCATCCTTGTTCATCTCTCGTCATCCTTGGTTAAATCGACTCAAAATTGTCCTAATATACAAAAAATATCTAAATATGAATATTCAGCTATTAGGAGGTGCGATTTAGAAACTTTTTTGGAAAAATAATGGCAAAAAGAGATAAAGAAAAATTATACGAAAAGTTACGAGAGTTTTATCTGGAAACGGTCCACAACTTTCGGTCATGATGGCCTCAGTCTTTACCACTATATCATGATGGCAACGATGGAAACAGCTAACATATTGCAATAGTTCAATATTCTTTGTTTTCAGTTCTACTTGATGTATGTAGATTTTTTGCAATTCACCCTGGACAAGAATTCTCTTCAGAGTTGTTCATCCTTGTTCATCTCTCGTCATCCTTGGTTAAATCGACTCAAAATTGTCCTAATATACAAAAAATATCTAAATATGAATATTCAGCTGTTAGTAGGTGCGATTTAGACACTTTTTTTGAAAAATAATGGCAAAAAGAAATAAAGAAAAATTATACGAAAAGTTACTAGAGTTTTATCTGGAAAAGGTCCACAACTTTCGGTCATGATGGCCTCAGTCTTTACCACTATACCATGATGGCAACGATGGAAACAGCTAACATATTGCAATAGTTCAATATTCTTTGTTTTCAGTTCTAATTGTGTATGTAGATTTTTTGCATTTCAGCCTGGACAAGAATTCTCTTCAGAGTTGTTCATCCTTGTTCATCATTCGTCAGCCTTGGTTAAATCGACTCATGATTGTTCTAATATTAAAAAGATATCGCAAAATGAATTTTCAGCTGTTAGGAGGTACGATTTAGCCAGTTTTTTTGAAAAATAATGGCAAAACGAAATAAAGAAAAATTATACGAAAAGTTACGAGAGTTTTACCTGGAAACGGTCCACAACTTTCGCTCATGATGGCCTCAGTCTTTACCACTATACCATGATGGCAACGATTGAAACAGCTGACATATTGCAATAGTTCAATATTCTTTGTTTTCAGTTCTACTTGATATATGTAAATTTTTTGCGTTTCACCCTGGACAAGAATTCTCTTCAGAGTTTTTCATCCTTGTTCATCTCTCGTCATCCTTGGTTAAATCGACTCAAGATTGTCCTAATATACACAAAAATATCTAAAAATGAATATTCAGCTGTTAGGAGGTGCGATTTAGCCACTTTTTTTGAAAAATAATGGCAAAAAGAAATAAAGAAAAATTAATTTTTTTCTGTGTTGGTATTGTGTACTCAGGTGAATAATATGTTTGCGGACAGTCCTGACCGCGTAGCTCAGTTGGAAGAGCATTGGGCTAGTATTCCAAAGGTCGTAGGTTCGAATCCCACCGTGGCCGGGCATATTTTTCAAGCTCGCCCGGTGTGGATATGCACTCAGAGTGACATCGTAAACATAAAGAAAAATTATACGAAAAGTTACGAGAGTTTTACCTGGGAACGGTCCACAACTTTCGCTCAGGATGGCCTCAGTCTTTACCACTATACCATGATGGCAACGATGGAAACCGGTAGGCTAACAGATTACAAAACTTCAATATTCTATTTTGGGTTGACCTAGCTGCATGTATATGCAGATTTATTGGATTTCACCCTACATACGATTCTCTTCATCGCTCTACATCGTTGTGAACGCCCTCGTCATCGTTGGTTAAGTCGACTCAAAATTGTCTAAATCTACAAAATATTATCAAAATATGAGTATTAAGCTGTTATGAAGAGCAATTTAAAGACTTTTGGGAAAAATAATGGCAAAAAGAAATAAAGAAAAAATTATACGAAAAGTTACGAGAGTTTTACCTGGGAACGGGCCACAACTTTCGCTCATGATGGCCTCAGTCTTTACCACTATACCATGTGGCAACAATGTAGACAGCTAGCACATTCCAATTCTTCAATATTCTCTGTTTTGGGTTGTACTAGCTGAAAGTAGATTTTTTCGATTTCACCCTACAGAAGAATTCTCTTCAGCGCTCTACATCCTTGTTTATCAATCGTCATCCTTGGTTAAATCGACTCAAAATTGCCCTAATATACAAAAAAATTATCAAAATATGAATATTCAGCTGTTAGGAGGAGCTATTTAGGGAGATTTGGAAAAATAATGGCAAAAAGAATTAAACAAAAAAAATTATACGAAAAGTTACGAGAGTTTTACCTGGAAACGGTCAACAACATACGCTCATGACGGCCACAGTCTTTATCATTATACCATGATGGCAACGATGTAAACAGCTAACATATTACAATTCTTCAATATTCTCTGTTTTGCGTTGTAGTAGCTGTATGTAGATTTTTTCGATTTCACCCTATAGAGAAGAATTCTCTTCAGCGCTCTACGTCCTTGTTCATCCCTCGTCATCCTTGGTTAAATCGACTACAAATTGTCCTAATATACAAAAAATTATCAAAATATGAGTATTTAGGAGTTAGGAGGGCCATTCTTTACCACTATACCATGATGGCAACAATGAAGAGAGCTAACATATTACAATTCTTCCATATTCTCTGTTTTGGGTTGTACTAACTGTATGTAGATTTTTTTGATTTCATCCTACCGAAGAATTCTCTTCAGCGCTCTACATCCTTGTTCATCTCTCGTCATCCTTGGTTAAATCAACTCAAAATTGTCCTAATAAACAAAAAAATATATAAAAATGAATATTCAGCCGTTAGAAGGAGCGATTTAGAGATGTTTTGGAAAAATAATGGCAAAAAGAAATAAAGAAAAAAATTATACGAAAAGTTACGAGAGTTTTACCTGGGAACGGTCAACAACATACGCTCATGATGGCCTCAGTCTTTACCACTATACCATGATGGCAACAATGCAAGCAGCTAACATATTACAATTCTTCGATATTCTCTGTCTTGGGTTGTACTAGATGTATGTAGATTTTTTCGATTTCCGCCGTAGGCGGTTTTCCACTAGGCGAAATTTTTCGACCGAATCGAAATTTCTCTTTGTTTCATGAGCTGTCAAGCAGAACTAATTGTAAAAAGACAAAGAGAAATTTCGTTTCGGTCGAAAAATTTCGCCTCGTGGAAAACCGCCTTTACCCGTCCGATCATTATAAATAGTGTTACGCTTACCCGTTACCCGTGGGATTAATCTTGAGTCAACTAAAGTTTGAGACTTAGAAAATTTCGAGCTGATCGAAAACGTTTTTTCGTCATGGACCGACTTATAGAAATGTTCAAAACGCATAATGATGCAGAAAGTTTTGGCTCAGGAAAATTTTAAAGCACATTTTAACATATAAACTTTCAGACAGTATACGTATATGCAAATGAATCCTTACCCGTCCGATCATTATAAATACTATTAGGCTTACCCGTTACCCGTGGGATCAATCTTGAGTCAACTAAAGTTTGAGACTTAGAAAATTTCGAGCAGATCGAAAAAGTTTTTCGTGATTGACCGATTTAGCAATGTTCAAAAGACAAAATGATGCAGAAAGTTTTGGCTCAGGAGAATTTTAAAGCACATTTTGACATATAAACTTTGAGACAGTATACGTATATGCAAATGAATACTTACCCGTGCGATCATTATAAATACTATTAGGCTTACCCGTTACCCGTGGGATCAATCTTGAGTCAACTAAAGTTTGAGACTTAGAAAATTTCGAGCTGATCGAAAAAGTTTTTTCGTCATGGACCGACTTAGAAATGTTCAAAACGCATAATGATGCAGAAAGTTTTGGCTCAGGAGTATTTTAAAGCACATTTTAACATATAAACTTTCAGACAGTATACGTATATGCAAATGAATCCTTACCCGTCCGATCATTATAAATACTATTAGGCTTAACCGTTACCCGTGGGATCAATCTTGAGTCAACTAAAGTTTGAGATTAGAAAATTTCGAGCTGATCGAAAAAGTTTTTTCGGCATGGACCGACTTAGAAATGTTCAAAACACAAAATGATGTAGAAAGTTTTGTCTCAGGAGAATTTTAAAACACATTTTGACATATAAACTTTGAGACAGTATACGTATATGCAAATGAATCCTTACCCGTCCGATCATGATAATTACTTTGGTTCTCCCTCGGTGGCTTAGTGGTATGGCGTTTAGCCTGCCTCGACAAACCTTTGAGTTCGAATCGCGTCGACTTCATATTTTTAATTTTTTTTCCTTTTATTTCTATCCAGCTGTTTTTATTCTTTTTACATCTTCATATGAGAAATCGCTTTGCAAGTAGTTGGAAATATTGGTATGTTGAGCCTGGCTCGAAGAGATCCAATCATTTCTAACAGATAATTCCGTTCGATATTATTTGAGGTGTTTTATTTCAACTCGCGTAACTAGTTTTGGCTGTTTGAGAGAAGCTGCCAAATAGTTTAAAGAGTGAAATTGAGTGTGGTATACCGTATACTTTGGCTCAAATACAACATACAGTATAAGCAAATACTAGAAGTTACTATCGCAAGGAAAGTGCTGCCACCATGGCGTTCTAAGTTGCCTCGAACTGCCAAAATTCTTCACCGCAATTCACCGCCTAATAAACTATTTCACCGCATAAGATAAGCGCGTCACGACAATTAGCTATAGTGTTTAATTTGACATAAACTTTCGTTCTCCCTCGGTGGCTTAGTGGTAGGTCGTTTGGCCTGTCTCGACAAACCTTTGAGTTCGAATCGCGTCGAGTTCATATTTTCAATATTTTTTCCTTTTATTTCTATCCGGCTGTTTTTATTCTTTTTACATCTTTATACGAGAAATCGCTTTGCAAGTAGTTGGAAATATTGGTGTGTTGAACCTGGCTGGAAGAGATCCAATCATTTCTAACAGTTAATTCCGTTCGATATTATTTGAGTTTTATTTCAACTCGCGTACTATTTTTGGCTGTTTGACAGAAGCTGCCAAATAGTTTAAAGAGTCAAATTGAGTGTGGTATAGCGTATACTTTGGCTCAAATACAACATAGAGTATAAGCAAATACTAGAAGTTACTACCGCAAGGAAAGTGCTGCCATCATGCCGTTCTAAGTTGCCGCGAACTGCCTATATCCTTCACCGCAATTCACCGCATAGTAACTATTTCACCGCACAAGATAAGCGCGTGACGACAATTAGCTATAGTGTTTAATTTGACATAAACTTTCGTTTTCCCTCGGTGGCTTAGTGGTAGGTCGTTTGGCCTGTCTCGACAAACCTTTGAGTTCGAATCGCGTCGAGTTCATACTTTCAATATTTTTTCCTTTTATTTCTATCCGGCTGTTTTTATTCTTTTTACATCTTTATACGAGAAATCGCGTTGCAAGTAGTTGGAAATATTGGTGTTTTGAACCTAGCTTGAAGAGATCCAATCATTTCTAACAGTTAATTCCGTTCGATATTATTTGAGTTTTATTTCAACTCGCGTACTATTTTTGGCTGTTTGAGAGAAGCTGCCAAATAGTTTAAAGAGTCAAATTGAGTGTGGTATAGCGTATACTTTGGCTCAAATACAACATAGAGTATAAGCAAATACTAGAAATTACTACCGCAAGGAAAGTGCTGCCATCATAGCGTTCTAAGTTGCCGCGAACTGCCTATATTCTTCACCGCAATTCACCGCATAGTAACTATTTCACCGCATAAGATAAGCGCGTGACGACAATTAGCTATAGTGTTTAATTTGACATAAACTTTCGTTCTCCCTCGGTGGCTTAGTGGTAGGCCGTTTGGCCTGTTTCGACAAACCTTT